AATGAAAAATCCGTTAACTCTACCAAAGAAAAGTTGAGGAGGATTAAGGCACATCCGCTCCAGAAATTTTTGATACACAGTGCTTTGGACAAGGTCTCAAATACTATAAAACGTTGAAAGAACAAAGCGTTGGGCGTTGATCAATCGGTAGGATATGCGCCATTCCCTGGACTTCATCAAGCATTCCTAGAGGTGATTTAGTGCATATACGGCTTATGAAATGACTTGTGGTGGCCTAGTGAATCATCAAGCCAGTGCTGCTATACTCCTAGACAAGTTTGGTGCCAGTTGCCCACCCGGGAGGGAGAGAAGGTTTGGTGAACTTGTGGCGCTGAAATCGAACTAACGAACAGTTGTGTATTACAAGGCACATCTAATCGTTTTGCCACACGCGCTCCTTTTACTTAATTAATGTATGGAATATACTGCACTATGGGTAGAGGGCTATGGGGGACTATGGGACTATGTAGACTATGGGCTCTATAAATCCGCGGAATGCGTACCTAATTTTTGTCAGAGGGTGCGGGGAAGAACACACTGCAAAGACGAGTAGACCACTTGCATCTGTATAAAAGAACAATTTGCTGGGTAACTTAAAAGAAACGCTCCAATAGGCACGCAAGGCATAACGGAGAAGATTTTTAAGTAAAAATTACAAATCTCGCACTGAAATCGAAGATAACTGCGCTAAAGCTGCTGCTAAACTGCTAAAGCGTTTTGGACAAGTCCCAAACGAACGGCAGAGAGGAGCGTCTTCCAACAGCGCGTGACCTCGCCCCATACTTGAACCTGCTATCTTGACCTGAGCCAGGGACATTTCTCACCTATGTAGGACACTATAGGGCTGGTGGTGAACAGCAACGGGAGGACCCATAGAAACAAAACGATGATTATATGTACATACATACAGTACATAGATGTTGATTAGTCATGCCGAGGTTAAAGGAGATTTTTGAAAAACGGTGACCGTTCAAAAGCAGCTGTTTACTACGCGGTGGAAATTTGCATGCTAAGATTACGAAACTGTTTGATTGAGTATAAGACGTGCCAGTTTGGCCCTTCCAGGTTCCAAAGAGGCTGAAATTCGCCGAATTTCAGGCAGTATTGGTTAAATTTTTTTTTTGGTTACTGAAAAGCTCGTACGTACTCAAGAATAAAGCACTGATTTATTGAATACGTAAACACTCAAGTTCAAGAAAAATAACTAATAGATCAACCTAATGTTCTCCAAAGGTTTGAGAATACGGAAAAATTGATTTAAAATTGAAATCCTTAATCAATTTCAAGGGCTCTTTAAATCATGGGGCTTCCACCGAATGATTCTAAAGACCGACTTTCCATGAACTTTGGTATGGTATACTTATTTATATGAACTTACAAAGGGATCTTTTTGAGCTGATGCGGGGTCGATACAGGTTTCCCTCATCGATGTCGTTGTTGTTAGCGTTGCTCGTCGACGACTGACGTTTCGGCGATTTCGGCTTCCTCAGAGCCGTGCTGTTACGAATAGGACTCGACCGAACGAGTTGCAATAGTTGCAGCACGATTTTTAAAAAGTGTGCAAATTAGAGAACTTGTGGAGAAAATGGCGAAGCTAAACCGCAATTATCAGAGGTTTTCTGCGAGGAACTAATTTCTGAGTGGTTTAAAATCACCACCAGACCTTCTACATACCCACATTTACCTACGTTATTCACCACGAGATATTGTTTATGGCAGATATGCATTCAGTTACCTCTAACGATGGATGATAACGTCGAATGAATGCCACATCCACCTGGGATTGGTCAATACCGAGAGCATTATTATTTTTATTTAGCTATTTGGAGATTCCATTGCAAAATAAAATTCCACAATGTGTGCTCACCAAACTCACAGCTGTCGGGTGTCCGAAGAATTCACGAGAACAACAGGCACCTGAAAGAATAAGCCATTGCAACATCAACGAGCAAACGTACGCAAAGAAACGATTCGTTTTGATTCAGTGGCATGTAATGGTTGGAAGAAGAATTATCTCAGAGGAATGTGGATCGGAACTCCGATGGAATTCCTTTTGGTAATATGATCTGAATGCAACACGAGGACAATAATTCCAGATGTCTCCTCACGAATAAAAACATCTCTAACAATCAAGCAGGCATAGTTTGTTCAGTGAAATATTAAAGCGCTAGAGAAGTGAAAGAGAAAGACAGAAAGTGATATTTGTCATTCTTCGTATTCCTATTGAACAAACGCGATGCTATTTTTATTCTTTATTCACGAATAAGCTAACGTTTCAGCAGATTTCGCCTTCCTCAGAGCCTGGAAAGGTCAAGTTGACAGCAATCTATCCGGCCAAACACCTCCATACCAAACGAAGAAAATGCTAAACCAAGATTTCAATCACATTAAACACAGCTTTGCACACTCACCGCTTTCTATGAGGCCTCCACTGAGTACGTGCAACCAATTTGTCTGCATGAAACTCTCAACTCTTTAGTTTCTTCATTCTTCATAATATCAGCTTAGCGACAACTCTGGCTGAAGTGACGGTTAGGATTTCATCTTCGCCCACCGAAAAACATCCATTTGTGCATATACAGATATTCCCACGTACATATGGAAGCTCCCAATAGTTTATCGCCCAACTGCAGCTGGACAGTTACTTTTATGTATTAAATTGCAACGTGAAACCGATGTTCCCCTTCATCGGGGTGTGAACACCTTGAAAATGGTTGACATTTGCACCAGAAAGCCTGCCTTATAGCGAATCTAGACCACGCTGGAACCCGAAAAGCTGCTCATTGCAACATTTTTGCCAAAGACAATAGACAACATACAAAGAGTGTTACGCTCTCCGTGCTCCTCGAAGAAGCCGATTGCTTTGGGAGAGAGGTGGGTGATGAGTAAGCATGAACTACTGGACAATATTTATGAAACACGCTATGCCGAGGTGATGCTGAAAGCACCTCGTATCATCTAACTACGCACGCTATGCTTCTCTGTTCGATGACCATCTGGAATCTTACACGAGATGTCGCTTCAAGAAGAAAGAGAGTATCATTAGGTGAGGTTAAAGTCGTGTACCGTTGTTATCACACTGTACCAGTGATATAGGGAAGCTCCTGTGAGAATCTTATGCGTGCACAAATGTGAGAGGAACGTCTTGCGACTTACTAGGTGAACAACTTAGCTTCGTGCGACCAAGCAGGAAAAATAGGAGGCAATGATGGCACAGTAGATGTGCAGCGAAAACAGAACACTAAAAACAATGGGTGCAAAGGTGGACGAAGATGCTCAAGTGCCTTAATAAATTAAAAAAGAAGTAGGAGCGAACGAAAGATAAGAAATGCAAGGAAATCTACACATCTAATGAGACCAGAAAAAAATTTCGGTACTTGGCGAAAGTGCTCACTTCAAAACGTCCGTACCGACAGGGATCGTGGGAATGCTTCACTTCATTCCTGGATACCTGATGAAGTCAAAAGCGCCCGCTTCTTACAACTGCAAAAATCGAGCACAAAGACTAAAATGAAGGGAATGTCGTTCCATAAACACGGACAGTACCAGTCGGCCTTAGGAACTGTTCGCACGAGCGCCACAACAACGGGGGGCAGTCGTCTTCAGCAGTTGTTTGCAAACGATGGCGGCGTCAAGTCTGAACCATTAGACGGAACAGTTGAAGCAAAGAAACCCCAAAAACAATAACGGCAGTAAACTAGTAGAACACCCAGGAACTAATTTACCTTGAGCATGGTCGCCAGCAGAATCGAACCCGAAGGTGGAGATTACGAATGGCTGTCCGAAAACATTGCCATTTCACTAAAAATATCCAATAAATCGCAAAACGTCGTCAGGTTTAGCTATTTGCAATTTAAAAATCGCTCCACAAATTCGTCAATTGATTTGTGGAGTTGGCCACCGAACTATAACTAAATCTAAAACCTAGCGTCATTCGTAAAATGACAATAGTTATCCTATTGTAAAACAAGTTATTACAATGAGTGTAAGTGCAATCAATAACACTGATTAGGCGGAAAAATTCTTTCACGGTACGGTAAGTGGAGCAGTTCCGTAGTTGCACCAGACGTGCGATGTTTGTATTACCGACGTTGCGCTCTTCAGGTTAGAGACCACTTGAACCCCACAGATACGGACGGCCCGGTTCAGATCGTCCGCCGTTTTTTTTTATTTAATACAATTCTTTGCTGAAAAATCACCTGTGGAATGTTCTAGTATGCATTTTAGTTCTCTATGTGCTGCCGACTTCTTTGTAGTTATTCTAGGTGGAAGTGTTTCTTATTTCTTAAAGTGACAGCAAAGGAACCTTGTGGATTTTTCAGAGGTCCATCGAAATATCGTCGACATGAGAGACGAGATGGAGTCTTACCGCCGCCATGTATGGGCATTGATACGTTTCTCCGACCCTGGTATAGAGAATTCCTCAATCAGATAGAGAATTCTTTATCCGTATAACTAATACAGTTCAGGTATCGAGGGGGATCGCGTGGCTGCAACGCCGCGCGCATCCTCTGCGTCCATATCCCGTTCCGGCCATGGGACACATCCAGTAGTCCCGCCATTCGACCCAACGACGCCGTCGAGACTGTCCTTGCCAGCCCCATCGTTAATTCCACTCCGTTAATTTTACTTTGTAGATTCATTTGCTTAGGTTATAATGATAGTATATGTAGCCCTTAGCCCGTGAATCGCTGACACATTAGTGTTATCGTCGTCTTTCGTGTAATTATGTTATCCGTGTTAACATAAGTTAAATACATTCATTGTTCACAGGTACCTCACAAACGGTTCATAGTTCTTGCGCACTCCCGCGAAAGCCCCTCACGTCCTCGAGCTGTGAGCCGTTACATTGGTGTGTTGACCAAGTCGGCTCGAACCCGAAGGACAAGGACCGACCGACTTAAACTTCAAGGAGCAATAAACGCTCATCGACGCGAACCAAACCTCAACACGGGTATCTACCTACAAGTACGTTACATTAAGTCTCAAAAGAAAAAACAATGGCAACGATCCTGTCCGCCCGCCAAGGACAATTAACAATGGCGATCAATCGCCTCGTATTAACCTTAAATACCTATCAGAACGAAATAGATACGCCAGTAGACCTTCCGTCCGAACAAGATAGCAGAATCGAGTACATTACTGGACGGCAAAGGAAGATAGAACACGCAAAATCGGCCACTGAACATGAAAGAAACAGCGTCCAGACCGCGTTGGATGCTTATGCCATGATGGCAGACCAACTCCAGGAAAACCCCAATACGCAAGCAAAAGACGAGCTGCAACGCACTGCCAATAAGAACGTAGAAAAAACAGTTGAGCACCTCGACGAGGCAGAACGCTGCCTCTCTAAGCTCGTCGACTTAGGAAAAACGTTGGAAGACACCGAGACATACCCACCAAGGGACTCAAATGTCCATCCACCTCTGGCGAATCTGCCACCCATCCCTATTCCGAAATTCAACGGAGGCATAAGGGAGTGGGAAGCATTTTGGGGAGCATTCAATTACAATGTGCACTCCCGCCGGATGGACGACCTCCAAAAAATGACGTACTTGCTAGACGCCCTTCAGGGAGAGGCAAGAGAATGCGTCAAACAATACCAAGTATCCCAAAGTAGTTATCCGATAGTAATACAGCATCTGAAGGAAAAGTACGACAACAAACAAGCTCTCATCCGTGATTTGCTACATAGACTACGTACAACAGAAGCAAAGACTGAACGCCTCGAAGATCAAGAAAAATTGTGTGAAACTCTTCACTCGATAGTTGTTCAACTGCAACAAAAAGGGGAACTCATCGATACTCTGCTCCTACAGCAATTACTGTTAGAGAAATTCACAAAAGAGATTCAAAGGCATGCTCGGCAAAAAAGACGACAGAGAGCAGAAGAGGCACGAACTTGCGAACTGCTAAAGGATATCAAAGACTACATAAAAGAGGAACTAGAACTACGGGACCGAGAGCAGGAAAAGCCCACGTCAAGAATGGAACACATAAGTCAACCAGAAAGGACGTTTAAAACTACACGATATACATGCTTCTACTGCAATAAAGGAGGACACTCACCAAGCGATTGTGAGGTGATAAGAACTCAACAAGAAAGAGTACAAATTATCAAAACTCGCAACCTCTGTTACAATTGCGGTTCATCATCGCATCAGCTGCCCGACTGCAAAGCGGGCCCGTGCCGAAATTGCAATAAACACGGACACCACACGTCCATTTGTAGGTACCAGTACGGACCGACTGAATACAAGCCGAGAAAAGGAGGAAACACTACAAGAGACAAAACAAAGGCACCTTCGAAATTACCAATTCCCATTCCAAGGGAAAAGAAGCCAAGTTCATCAAAAATCAATACGGTAACTTCTGATGAGACACAGCCGGAGGATACCGTCGTTCTTCACACTAGGAGAGAACTCGCACCCAACAGTCAAATTTTAGCAGGACAGGTGGAAGTATTCAATCCTAGCAAGACGAGACGAGAATTAACGGAGGTGATCCTCGATACAGGATCGGACCGTTCGTTCATTACTAATGCTCTGGCCAATCGCCTTCAACTACGAGACAGTGATTCTATCGAATTAAACATTCACACATTTGGCGACACAAAGCCAATTACCAGGACATGCGGAGTCACTACGTTGAAATTGAGAGATGCCTTTGGTTCGGAGCACGAAATTACGGCAACTAGAATTGATAAGATAACACAACCTCTTGAACGATTCAATCTAAACGCAGAGGACACAGAATTTCTCGAGAACCATAAAATCAAGCTTTCGATCAATCCAGATCTCAACACTATATACCCAGAGATCCTTCTCGGATGCTCAGACTCAGTCACCATGCTTGATAGCAGAGCATTTCCGACAAGGACATTGCCATCAGGATTGAAGTTAATCCCATCCAAACTGGGATATCTCGTGACAGGAACTCTTCACGATCCAATTGATACATCTAGAGAGAATGCGTCTCTCATGACGGATGCCACACATGCATGTCAGCACATAACGGAGCAGCAGTCATGGGAAAGGTATTGGTCATTGGAATCATCAGGAATCCACGAATACACAGGACCAAGCGTACAAGAACGACAGCAACAGAACGACAATATTTGGGAAGAGTTCCAGAGAACAATAGAAAAACGGGAAGACGGCTATTATGTCTGACTTCCTTAGAAAAATGAAGCAGACACGTTGCCAGATAACAAAAGCATCGCAGTAAAACGATTGCAGGCGACGATAGTGAATCTAAAGCATGATCCAACTACGTTCGAAAATTATCATAAAACCATCAAGGAACAACTGGATCAAAACATCATTGAAGAAGTTGATGAATCAATACCAATAAAGGGAACGGTAATACACTACCTTCCACATCAAGCGGTCCTCACACCCAACAAAGGGACTGCAAAGTTGAGAATTGTCTACGATGCATCTGCTCATCTCAAGAAGCAGCCCTCGTTAAACGATGTGCTTCATCAGGGTCCATTGTTCCTACCAAAAATATACGACATTTTACTTCGGTTTCGCATCGGAAATATCGCAATAATTAGCGACGTCGAAAAGGCTTTTCTACAAATACGGCTGCACGAAGCAGATAGAGACACTACGCGATTTCTATGGATCTGAGACATCTCTCAACCTTTGGAGCCAAGGAACATAACCGTGTACAGATTTACACGAGTTACAATCGGACTGAATTGTTCACCATTCCTTCTAGCAGGAACAATTAAACACCATTTAAATAACTGTCAAAATGATCCTAAATTCGTCGAACATCTGATCAATAACACTTATGTGGATAACGTGATTCTAACAGCCGCCTCAACACAAGAAGCAATGTCGACGTACAGAGAGGCAAAGCAGATATTCAAAGATTTGAATATGAATTTACGTGAATTTCTTTCAAATGACAAGGATTTTCTGCAGCAAATTCCACAAAAGGACAAGGCATCAAATAGTCTACAAAAGGTCTTAGGAATCCCATGGCGTTCCACAGAAGACAGACTCCTTATCTCATGCAGATATCCAACAAAATCAAAACTAACTAAACGAACAATCGCCGAACAGGTAGCTGCTATATACGATCCTATGGGCTGGTTCACGCCACTCACACTAAGAGGGAAGCAATTCCTTCAAAGCCTCTGGAACTTCAACTACACGTGGGACAATCTCTATCAAAAGAACACAAAGACCAATGGAAAAAGATCGTTGATGATTTTAACGGCTTCGAAGCCTTCATCCCACGAAAAATAGCCCAGATCGGAGCCTCAAGCAGACTTATTCTCTTCGCGGTTGCTAGCAAACACTGCATGGCCACGTGCGCCTACATGATTACCAATGGCGAATCACAACTACTCGCAGGAAAGTCTAAATTACCATCAGTCAAGGATAACCCTACAATTCCTAAACTGGAACTAAACGCGCTAACATTGGCAGCACGATTAGCGCATTCAATATATACAGCGTTAAACAACCTCACTTCTATCACAAATATAACTATACTCTCGGACTCAGAAATCGCCCTCAATTGGATACGGTCTAACGAGGCACACAATTCAGCAGGGGTGTTGGTGAAAACCGCATGAAGGAAATACGCCGAATAGTGGAAAATATACCAACACCTGTACAATTTGGATACATAGGCACTGATCAAAACGCCGCTGATTGCGCCACAAGANACGATTAGCGCATTCAATATATACAGCGTTAAACAACCTCACTTCTATCACAAATATAACTATACTCTCGGACTCAGAAATCGCCCTCAATTGGATACGGTCTAACGAGGCACACAATTCAGCAGGGGTGTTGGTGAAAAACCGCATGAAGGAAATACGCCGAATAGTGGAAAATATACCAACACCTGTACAATTTGGATACATAGGCACTGATCAAAACGCCGCTGATTGCGCCACAAGAGGACTAAACAAAATCGAACTAAAAGACCACATATGGTGGAAAGGACCAGCATTCATTAGGGAACCACACTCACAAAATGATCAACGCCTTTTTACGTTAGAGCAAAAACGTATACAAAAGGCACAGGTATCCACAACTACAACAATAGCCACTACACCCGTCGAAGAATTGCTGGGCTGGAAGCGATTCAATAGACTTGGAAGAGCAAAAAGAACGATCACATATGTCCTCAGATTCATCAGCAGATCCGGCTCCAAGCTACCGAAGAAACTGCGCAGCCGAATATACAAGAACATCCCGGAGCTCCAGGCAATGTCAACAGAAACATACGTTACGGCCATAGAGCAAGAAGCAGCCTTACGAGTTTTGATACGAAACCACCAAACAGTTTACCTTTCTTCACAATCGATGAAAGATTACAAGCATTTGAAACCATATCAGGATGAATGGGGACTCATTCGGTGCAAAGGCAGATTAAATAAAGCAGACCTGCCACGTGAAACTCAGCAACCTATTCTAATCTGCTCAAAAACAGCACTAGCAGAATTAATAGTTGTTGAGGCACATCTCCCATTCCATAATGCAACAAGCCATACCATAGCCAAGGCACGTGAAAGATTCTGGATGACAAGCATAAGGCAAATTGCTAAGAAAGTCATAAGACGATGCCTACCTTGTCAAAAGATGAACAGTCTCCCTTACAATTATCCGTCGATGGACGACCTGCCGGAAAGAAAAGTGAGAAGATCGCGACCGTTCGAGCATGTAGGTGTGGACTATTTCGGACCACTAACAGCGAAGAATAGTGAGGGAACGACAAATGTCTACGGCATCATCATAACATGTGCGACAACCAGACTACTTCATTTAGAACTCGTAAAGAACGTGACGACGAATGACTTCCTGCTAGCTTTAAGGCGATTTTTCGCTAGACGAGGAGTGCCCAAAACTATCACATCTGATAATGCATCTAATTTCCTACTGAGCGAGCAAATTCTGCAAGACACAGTTCTTCCCGTTAGTAAAGACTCGTCACTAGCAAGTACAATGGCAACGAGAGGAGTAACATGGAGGACAATTACGCCGTATGCTCCGTGGCAGGGAGGATTTTACGAGCGTCTCATAAAGTCAGTTAAGTACTCTCTATACAAAGTATTGCAAAAGACGATCCCAACAACGGAAGAATTGGAAACACTGTTGGTAGAAATAGAGGGAAATCTTAACAGTCGACCCCTCACATACCAAGAAGAAGGCCCCGACAACTTCGTTGCCTTGCGACCAATAGACTTTATCCAGCGTGACATGATAATAACATATCCATTTGAATTCAGCAGAGAAGAGGAAGGTGATAAAACGTATCTTCCACATCAAGAAGCAGTATTACTACGCACGCGAAAGGAAGTGCAGGATGCCCTCGCATCAAGTCATGAAATGACAGAACATTACTGGAACGTCTGGAGCCGTGAATACTTGAAAGGTCTCCGAGAAACTCACAAACTCAATATAAATAACAAACGAGGCACTCGAACGAACCCAACCATAGGGACGGTTGTACTAATTCAAGATCCAGCTTTGCCACGAAACGCGTGGAGAACGGCGCGCATAATCGATTTGAAGCAAACAGAAACGGGTACAATCCGAGAAGCACAACTCAAGCTACAGAGCGGACGTATCATAAGAAGACCAATTAACTTACTAATTCCGCTTGAGCTGGAAGACAGTCCGGCAGAGAAACGGTCCGGCACAAATGATGAAACGGAGTCGCCGAA